GACAGCAGGCTAGAGCATGCAAGCCCATGCAGACTGGATTCAAAGAGAAATGGAAGTAATGGAAATTTCAAACAAGGAAGTTCATGATATAAGGTATTTAAATATAGATGTTTTATATATTATAAATAAATATTTTTAAATATAGAATATTTCTAGTATCCTACAAAAGCAATGAACTAATATTCAGATGCCAAGAATAGAGTCTCATTCCTTCCATATCTGTAGTACTTCTTTAGTAGCTGTTCCACTGGTAAGTAAGCTATGCTGCGCCCATTGTAATATGGATAGTCAGTGCACAGACATGCTAGTCCCAATGCCTTTGCCCACCCCTGCTTCCTCCCCAGGGGACCCTGTCTTCAACACGCTTCCTCTTCCTTTCTGTCCATGACCACCTCTTCATATGGCCAATTTCAATGTACCATGAAATTGTTCTAAGACAGAGAAGTTAAAACACACCATACCCCATTAAATATGATCTCCAATTCCTTTCTAGCCATCTCGGTAAAATCTCTCCCTGTCTTCATTCCATTTGGGAATTTATGTAATGACCTTTCAACTGAACAGTGGTTCCTATAGAAAGTGGAATTAAGAAAGGGAGAGTCACAAGAATGGAACTAGAAAGTCAAACTGAACATAATTGAAAACCGACAGTATTATCACAAGTCTCTAAAGCTTCATATGTAAAATAGTTTCCGGAGATGCCTTCAAATTTTGTCTCTAGCTCCTCGTTTTCTTCTAATTAAGTTTCCTGTGCTAATAATTGACTTGGATAAGCCAAGTGGGAAGACTCAGAGCAATATCCAAAAGCAATACTTGAAATTAAAAACACATTGAAGGCCATCACTCTCTTCTGCTGTATCACTGTGATAGCTGTCGTGTTCATGGCAAGGATTTAGCATTCAGTCAGAAGCTGGGCTAATCGCTGCTGGTGGACTAATCTATGACTACACATTCTTTTCAGAGATTTAAAGCTGCCCAGTGGGGTTGGAGAAGAACTAACAGTCTCTTCCCAACTCGCACCTGAAGGTGGAGAGACGTTATGTAAATGACGGAGTGAGTATCAGAATCTCAGATGCACGCTTAGATTTATTAAAGTAACCTCACTGTTTAAGGGAAGGGGAATCAGTAGCATTGGAGGCGCTCTCTCTAAAACCTATGAGCTAACTATAAAACGAGCACTCTTCTTCAAAAGGCTTTGTTCCCTTTCTTTTTTTATTATCACATCAAAGAATTTTCCAAATAGAAAATTCCATTTCTAGAGTTTACAGGTTTATTGCGGCAACAGATGTTCAGCTAATCTCAAACTGGACAAAAATCATCTAAGTAATCATTTGGGGCATCAAAAGTACTAATCAGGAATGAAAAGGTTCTGCCAGCAGTCATATTTTAAGTAGAGAGGAACAGAATATGCAACTGCAGAAACAAAGGCTTGTTTTTCAGGGTGGCGGACATGCCTGTTCCTCTACAAAGGAAAAAGGAAAAAGTTCTTAGAAGCTGAAATCATGAGTTTCGTTAAATGGACTTGAGTTCAAATTCCTCTACCATGGGTATTTTTCTTCCTGTGACAATGCCTTATTTGTATTTTTTTTTTAAATCTGGAAAACGTATCATAAAATGTTCGATTAAGGAGGCACCTATGCAGACATGCCTGTGAGTAGTGAATAAATTAAAACATACTCGTCACCTTGAATCGAAACTAAATCCTTACAAGCATGCTTTTTCCTTTCAAAGCCGTCCTATAGAATGAACCCATTGGCACGGGGAAGGCGATGTTTTGAATATAGCAGCACCTAGGAGCCTGAAGATGGAATTCGAAACATAGAACACTTATTAGTTCTGCATGGGACAAGAAACGTACTTAACAGCCGGCCTCAGAAATGAAAAGATTTCAACGGACCGTAGCTTACTTTCAGTTCTCTTAGGAAAGACTTTATTTAATCCCATTTAAGATTTTTAATAATAACCTATCAGAGAGTAGCACCTGACTTGCTGCCTTAACCACACTGACTGCATCTTAGCATCACCACTGCACAGACCCACAGCTCTAGTGTCCTCTGCTTACCACCTCGTCCCTCACTCCCACACTGCATCCGAGCAGCATCCTGTAGTTTCCCTCAACAAAGAAACAACTCAAGACCCACCGCTGGCAAAAAAAAAAAAAAAAAAAAAAAAAAAAAAAAACCAGAGAATTCAGGAAGCAACAACTCAAGTCTCTTAAAAGATATCGAAATAGAGCCACGGAGACACACACTGCTGCTGAGCTGTAAACAGAGCCTGCAGTTACGGTGCTGCCTCTGGCAGTATTAGAACAAGAGGGAGGTGGTCCCATTCCTCATCGAAGACCAGGCCTTCCAAAAGACACTGGGTGAAGGAAGCCTATATCCTGTTCCAAACAGACACACGCATGAATCGGAACCATGAGCTATTCGACTAAACACGTATTTATTCTTCTTTCCCACCAAACAGAGGCGGGACGGAAAAGTTGCCCTGCATGCTTCCTCAAAGCAGTGGACAGGGACACTGCAGGATAGCAGTGCACACGCAGGCGCACACAGAGGTAGAAACTACAGCCTCCCCTCTTTAGCACTGTGTTTATGTGCATGACTGCACATGCAAGTGTGACTGTGGGTATGTGGCACACAGGAACTGGTTGAAAACAGACTATGTAGACGTTCGGTGGTGCAAACCACACAGCACACGCCAGCATTTCAGCAGACAGATGCCAGGGCAGCATTTCGGGCACCTTTTGGGGGTTCCAAGGTGACTGTGGTTTGTGCAACAGCCTGGCTTTCTGTCGAGGCGAGTTCAGTGGACATAACTGCCAAATCACATCTTCAGAGTAAGAGCAGTTTAGAGGAGGGGTTCTGGGATGCAGCACCAGAAATTTAGTAACAGACGTTACTAAAAAGGACTGGCAACGTGGTTGGAAGGCCACTGACAGGCCAATAGGTTTCCGGTTAAGGCTCCTACTGGTTTTTTCCAAGGTCACTGAACAATTAATAGGAGACCATTCAGATAGGAATTATGGGTAGAGAGCATTTATTAGTTTCACATGAAATTTGAAAGCAGGGGACACACTCATCTACTTGATCCCCCAAAGGCTCAATAGAAACAACTGTACCCAGAGGGTCCCCTCTGATCCCAACCAGTGTGAAGATAGCATCCTCCATGAGATAAATTTGACAAGCTAGCCATGGTGCGACTTCGGCTCCAGCACCAGTCTTTGTTAGAGTTCCCCTTTCAGTTTCTGCAGCTCAGCTCAGCTGTAGCTCAGAGCTTCGAGCTGGCGTTCCGGATGGCAGAACAGACCTGATTACCAGGAGAAGCACTAATGAGCATCAGGACACGCTACCAGCCCCAGATAACTCATGGGACAGTTTCAAGGCGAGAGTAAAAGGACAGGTCCTCCAGTGCCCTATGGAAGGCTAGAATTGAATTGGAATATATGCAGATGCATGTTAACAGACCCCACATAAAATTTAGCTGAAAAAAAACATGGTACTCCTATAGACAAGGTTATTTTTTCCTACGAAGATAAGTCATATGGGCTTTGAATTGAAAACTATGTAAGTTATCTTCTTTCTGCTTGTCTTGCTTTGCTACTCAAAAATTAAATTCATTTTGAATTAACCAAAACTGATTGAACCTTAGTCTTAACAATTATCACTTAGCTCTCTGAAAATAAGAGCAGGCTCTAAACAGAATGATATCCTGACTCCTTTTAAGGCCACTTCCCCAAATCTGCGAGCTTCTGCCCCAGAATTCTTCACTCCCTCAAATCACACTAATGACATTTGGCATGATGAGAGAGAGAGAGAGAGAGAGAGAGAGAGAGAGAGAGAGAGAGAGAGAGAGAGATTCATTTTCCCCAAATGAGTACAGGCTACATTGCAGGTTTTACTGAAACCATCTTCTTTTTATTCCAGTTTAGTGAATTTCCAAGGTCCACTGCCCAGCCACAACTGGTAGGACGGACCTCGACTTAAATGTGGCCTCTCTTGTCATCTCAGTGGCTCATTTGAGAGCCATTATGCACTGGATTCTGTATTATAAAACCCAGGCTGGGTGCAACATTTCTGCCTGTCATCTTAGGAAAGGCCAGGAGTTTTGAGCCATCCTGTAGTAAGAAAACAGAAAACCGAAGCCAGCATAGAGTTCCCTGATTCTTCTCTGACCAATTTGTTGCTTTTGCTGAGGTGATATTGGCTGTCACTATCTCAAGCAAGAAAAGGCAAGTTAGTAGAATAATACCTAGTTTAAACAGCATCTCGCAAGGAAAATATCCCTCCTCACACTTCATGTTCAATGTACTAAGATACTCAGCAAATAACCATTTGATGTTTAGCTAAGGGCCCTCTCCTTTCTGGCCGGTATGATCCTGATGAAGGAGCCAAGAGGCCCAGGTGTTTTTCTTAGAGCCCTCATGCTGCAATGACAGCCCCCAGAAAACTCCAGTTTATGAACCAAATTTGTTGCACCCCTCGCTCCAATATCATAATGCAAATCCCAGAGATAAAAATATCTTCTGAGATACGGAAACAGTTCACTGAAAACGACAGCGTGTGGAAAACTCTGCCCATGACCTCTCCTGTCTAATGTCAATTTCTGAAAACAAGTTTCCATTGCAAAGATTTAACCAGTGTGCTTTCAGGAACCACACACACACACACACACACACACACACACACACACATCCTTATCTTTTTTGCTCCAACTTGTTTGGCCTTTGAGCATCTTCCTAGCTGTCTCAGCTCCCTGCAAACACTTAGGTTTTTCTCTTTCAAAGGAGCTGGGAGCTGTGGAGCTCTGAGCTAAGCAGAATCCCTGTGGTTTGATTCCATTAGTCTAAACCCTGGCCGGTGGCAAGCAAGCTGTCTTAGCTGCTTGCAAAAACCCTGGCAGCCAGGTTCTAGACACAGTCACCGGCTGCATGCATTCTTCCATACTGGTCTACCCAAATCATGCCTGGAGTCAGCCAACCACAGCAGTGGGAATCCTACCTTCCATCATGGTGGCAGAATTGCATTCCTTAATTTCCAAGGAGTCAGAAAAAAACACAGGAGGATACGCTTCCAGGTCCCGGCTAAGTCCTCACAATGCCGCTGCTGAGGTCTGCTCTGCTTACTGCCAAGCCAAAGGAGACAGTGTTAACCCGAAATACAGGCCATGGATGCTGCTGGTGCTGCTTCACCTACAAGCTCCCAGGAAGATGCTGAGAGAGAAAGGCAGAGAACAGCAAGCCGGCGAGCTGCACCGCCTGCACTGCCTCGGCCAATCCCTTCAGCTCTGGACCGCGTCACATGGTAGCCAGCCTGCATCTCCTGACACAATACCCCCGGAGAGCGCACGGAACCCATTTCCCGTCCCCATTCCTCGCCACCCCCACCGCCTCCCGCTCCTCTCCAAAAACACAGCCCCTTCCCCACCTGGTGACGCACTTCCCCCGCCCCTCCTCGTGGTCCCCGCAAGCCTATTGCGGCTCCCGGGTGCCCGATGATCTGTGTGCCACCGTGTCTGGGGACGCCAAAGAGAAAGGAGCCCAGGAAGCTGAGCTGCCCAGGGGATTTTTTTGTTTGTTTGTTTTTCTCTTTTATTTATTTTTTAAAGAAAAAAACTTCTCAGTAATTTCAGATCTTGGCAACGCACTTTTACATTTCCATTCCAACCTCATTTTGACCTGAAGGAATTTCAAATGTCAGCACCTGGCTTCTGCGCACATCTGTCATCTGTGGCTGGCTGGTGCTTTCTCTCTCCTTCCACCCCCGTGCCCCCACCCCATCTCCCTGTCTATGTCTCTCTGTCTCTCTGTGTGTCTCTCCCTCTCATTCACGAGAGAAAAATCAATCCGCTGACGTCACATCATAAACAACCATCCCCCAAAGGATGATGCAGAAAAAAAATTCACCCCAGCTGCCATGAAAAGAGGCAGGAAATTAATTGCGCATGACATGCCCAAGGGCTGGGAACTGTCATTAAAACAAAGAAACAAAAGAACCCACCCGATCCGGGCTCTGGAATCAAACCGGCGATGCTCCAGCTCATTTCTGGGGCGAGAGGCGGGAGTGGGGGCTGAAGGCAGAAGCCTAAACCTTGGCCGCCGCAGGCATAAGACCGCTGTCTCCTCCCACGCTCTGGGCTCTGCAGCCGCGACCCCGGGCTGCGGGTCCCACCGCCACCCCCGCCGCCACCGCGTCCTCCCTCCGAGCTGGGCCGCCGCCGGCCCCAGGTGAGGAGCCTCTCTCGCAGCCTCGGCTACAGCTGCCAACTGCAGCCCCCACTACAGGGTTTTAGGAGAGACGCGCCTCCTGCGATCTTGAGTCGCCTCGGAGCCCAGACGTTCAACCCCGGAGGAAATCCAGAGGGTGGCAACCGTTCCAGGTTGCGCTGGAAGAATGGGCGGAGCCCGGGGCTTGGCAACTTGCTGGGATGGGATCCGCCTGCCCTGGAACGGTTCAGACATAATGTCTGGTTGAGTTGAGGGTCTGTCACCTGATTGCTCTCCAGAGACCTGTGAGTCCTTCAAAGGGACTCCCAGGCACGTTGTTCTGCGATCCTAGGTTTAACAGGACCAGACAGCCAAGCATAAATAAATGGTATCGAGTAGAGGAGGCCTATGAGAAGGAGGGAGAGAGATGAAGAGAGACGGAAGGCTAGGTCTTTTTAAAACAGGGAATAGCAGGATTGGGGTTACAAGAATTCCCTTATTGAAGATCGGGTCTGAGTCTCTAACAGCAACAGTGCTGGGCGTTTATAACACCTTCAGTCAGTATTACCCATCTCAACACAGTCTGGATTTCTTCCAAGGGAAGATGGGATACTGGTGGCCGTGAAAAAATAAAGAACACATCTAAAGGAGGCCAAGCAAGAAGCAAATTAGTCAAAATCAAAAAGCAACTCAGTTCCTTAGCCACTTACAAGATTTTCTTAATTGAAAAATAATCATTGTTTCCCCCTGGAGGACACATATTTCAGTGACCTCTGCATTTCAAAAGTAAAGTCTCTGGAGAGATGCTCTCGCTTGTGACTTTTCCGTGTCTATGAGGCAGGAGGGTTTTAAAAGGAAGGAGATTACAAAATAAAACATGCCTTCAGAACAACTTGATGTGCTCTAAAAACTGCAGGGCGTTATTGCATAAAGGCTGTGTGTGTGTGTGTGTGTGTGTGTGTGTGTGTGTGTGTGTGTTTAGCAAATTGTTCTAGTGAAGGCTAAGAACCTGCGTGGATACTGGTGTTAAACATAATGAGATGGAATTGTGTGTCTTTTGCACTGAGGTCTGGGAACCTAGGCCAGTCATGCAACTCTGGGTATTGGTTTCTTACCTATAAAATGGAGATTGTAATAATACCAAGTTCACAAGCCTATAAACAAGCAGCTCTCAACCTGTGGGTCAAGCCCCACCCCCACCCCACTTGCGGGTGAGTGACCCTTTCACGGGGCTCGCCTAAGACCATCGGAAAACACAGATATTTACAGCTGCGAGTCATAACAGTAGCAAAATTACAGTTATGAAGTAGCAATGAAAATGGTTGAAAAAGCAGTGATTTTATGGTTGGGGCCACCAGAAGGGTTAGTGTTGTGTCTGGAGCCTTGTAAGTCCCCCATGTTAGCTTTGCAGAATTGGTGTCATTGACCCTTGAAGGGCTGGTGCCTGTATCAGAGGTTGCAGCCAGAGAATTGCAGGCGAAGGGAGAGCCATGCGCACTGAGACCAGCGGTGAAAGATTAGGCGAGGCAGAGGGCCAGTTTGCTGGATGGAGACTCCTGAAAGCAGCCGAAGAGAAAGTAGAGGCAAACAAGATTCACTGGGGAAAATCCAAAAAGGATGGAAGTTTAGGAGAGTTGATGAAAAGAAATGGAATGAGCTTGGGGTAGAAGCTATAAAAAATAAGGAACTCTGAATGTGGATGGTCAGGTAGCGTCTGGAGGTGAGTGGGAGCAGGAAATGCAGGAGGTGGAGCAAAGTGGCAGATAATGAACGAGCTTATCAGCCTCTGTAGCCAGCCCTGGCTCCAGGGAGCTGAGCAGACTCACTACAGCTCACACCAGTTTGCTTTTAGGGTTGTAGCAAGCCAATAAGACAGAAAGCAAGCTCAAAGATTCTTGTTCAGAATATAGTTTGAACGTTTTTAATGCACATAGAAACATTGTGCATACTTATGAAGCATGATGTAACATGTAAGTACTTATCTAATATGTTTAGTGATTAGATCAAGGTAACTCACACATCTGCCACCTCAAGAAATCTGTGTGTGTGTGTGTGTGTGTGTGTGTGTGTGTGTGTGTGTGTGTGTGTGTGTGAGAGAGAGAGAGAGAGAGAGAGAGAGAGAGAGAGAGAGAGAGAGAGAGACATTAAAGATCTTTCCTACTAGCTGGTTAGAAGTAGACAGCTATGACCAACCACAATGGCTTGACTGCATCACAGGCTGCTAGAAGTTACTCTTATCCAACTGCTCCCACACGCCCCTGTTAACCATCTTCCCTTCATTTGTACCCTTAACACTTTCCAGTTGCCAGTAACACTATTCTCCTCTCTACATCAGCCAAATCAAACGCTTAGCTTCTGCATTTTATGAGAATATGTGCGGTTTACCTTTCTGTATATGCCTGACTTATGTCACTTAATCTAATGCCCTGCAAGAAAGTTATAAGAAAGTAGCTGAAGTTCATTTTTATTACTGAGTAATTCATTGTATATGTATACACATTTTCCTTATCTGCTCATTTGTTGATGGGCTCTGAGGCTGATTCCATATGTAAACAATAACATAATGCCCGGGTAGGTGGGGAGGTCTCTTTAACATATTAGTTTCCTTCTTTGGAGATGTACACCCAGTGGCAGAACTACCGTGGCAGTCCTCTGTCAAAGTTGAGCAAGCTTTGTATCATTTGTGTAATTGCATTTCTACTATCAGAGTAAGAGATCTCCTTCCTCTGCACTTCATCAACATCTACCATGCTTTTGTCTTATTGTTAACAGACAATTTTAAGTGGTTTTGTATGTCCCTCATAATTACTTGGATTGAGCATCTTTCATTTGTTTCCTGGTTATTTATATATCCTCTTTTAATAGATGTTGATTGAGAATATTTGGTCAATAGCTTTGTTATGGTTATAAGAAAAATAACATTGTAGATACAATTGCCCTAGAAGGACCAACACAAAGATGTGTAGCAAAAAGTGGTTAGGTCAGTCCTGAGGCCAGATACACTTCGCTACAGCTTTATCAGCTGCCTGTCTTGTGCCCTTTTTAAAAAGACACTGTTATTATCAATTATAAGAACATCCAAGAAACAAAGTTGTGTTTCACATTGAAAATTTACTCAAGTACTTTGTCAGAAAAGGTCTAATACCTCAATTGTTTTTCCTTCTAGATCTTTTCTTTTCTTTTCTTTCTTTCTTTCTTTCTTTCTTTTTTTTTTGGGGGGGGGGAAACAAGATTTTGCTCAAGAACATAAGTAGCATTTTAGATTATGCCTGAATTTCCTCTCTTTGGGTGATATCTTTCTCCTTGATGACAAGCCCCAAAGAAGAATTTCTTGCTGTTGAAATGATAGGATGTTTCTTACAAATCTGAAATTGCAGCCAAAAGTTCTTGGAAAATATGGGCTCAACTGCTGGCCAGCATCAGAATGCAAACACTGCCTGGGAGCCCTGTCCCGGATGATGAAGACAGACCAGGGTCACACTAGGCTCACAGAATGTTTTTAGTGAGTCAAAGACCAACAACCTAAGTGCTGATGTCACTAGATACTGCATTCTCTTGCTGAAATAAGGTGCGTATTGTGATGCTTCATTAGTTACCTGTGATTTAGAACCAGGTCCCAGATTCCAATTGGGGTGATAGGTGTGTCTTTGATTCCGGTACTCCAGAGGCAGAGGAGGCTGGAGCTGTGAGTTCAAGGCCAGCCAAGGCTCCACAGTAAGACCCACTCTCAAAATGAATGAATAAATAAATAAATGAAAGAAGTCATATACCTATCACATTCTTAAGAGTTAGGTTTCTTTATTCCTTTTTAATTTTAGTATTTTAGGGGATTATTTGTTCCTACTTTAAAAAAAAAAGAAAGAAAGCAACAGGGCTGGAGAGATGGCTCTGTGGTTAAGAGCACTGACTGCTCTTCCAGAGGACCCAGGTTCAATTCCCAGCACCCACATGGAAACTCGCAACTGTCTGTAACTCCAGGATCCAACACTCTCATACAGACCTACATGCAGACAAAAAAAAAAAAAAAAAAAAAAAAAGAATGAGACCTGAGTCATGAAGGAGTTAGGAACGTTAACCCAAGGAGAAAGTATTCAAACATGTCTAGGTCTACACGTGTACATCTCCAAGGTGCTCATCTTAGTAGAACATTTGACCCTTTCCATTCCACTCTGTCCTTGGAGGCAGTCAACGACGGTAAAGGTGGAAATGTTTTCCAAGTACTGGGGTCAGCATTGTCGCCTGAGGAGACCCAGTTCTATGAGTCATCGTGCTGAGAGACTCATGTGTCTGCTTTGAGAGGAAAGCAGAAGAGATTTGTGGAGATCCTGCTGGGCTTGTTGTTTGTTTTTAACATATCCACATATGAGCATATAGAACACCTCTGTGTGTATGTATATGGTACATACATGTATGCATATACTATTCTCCGTTCAGAATAAAGCAATTACAACTTGAACTATTAATAAAATAGACAAAAGGAATTTATCTGTGTAGCTTTGCAAACCACAGGAAGAGCAGCTGCAGGGAAACTAGAATCAGGACATGTCATGACACTGTTCCCAGAACCAAGTACTAAAGGACCAAATATATCTTTAAAAAGTATCTATTTTAAATTATGGTATAGTTTCCAGATTATAGAATCAGTAAAGGAACTACTCAGTTCTCTCTCTCTCTCTCTCTCTCTCTCTCTCTCTCTCTCTCTCTCTCTCTCTCTCTCTCCCCACCCCCTTTATATCTCCATCCAGGGAAGGACTCTGATTGACTTGGCTTCCATCATTGTTCACTCTCTGGACCCATCCATGGAGCCATGTTGATGAAACCTCGTGGTGAATTTATGTAAGACTAACACTATCTTTGGCTTACTCCCATGTCCAGCATTGAGACTAACCTTGGGGAAGATAGAGTAAGGCAAGTTTCCATGGCAAACAACCCTGAATATGAAACCCTCATGTTACAGGAGGGACAGACAGGGTGTCAAAGGAAGAATGGATGCTATTTTCAGAACAGATGTGAGCAAGATGCTATGTAACAAAGCAACCTGTCCCACAGGCATTGCTCAGTGTGTCAAGTACAAAAGGACTCAGTAACAGAGCCACACAGAAGGCACACTG